TATATATATATATATATATATATATATATATATATATATATATATATATATATATATATATATATAGTCGTGGCGTTGCTTGCATGGGTGTTCTATGTGATATTTGTATGTATGCTTCCCCAACCTAATAGTCTCCTGTGAAGCAAATTACTACCAAATTTTGCGTTTATGTGACAATGTGAAAGGAATTACCTAAAATATAAAACCACTTACTCCATTCACGTTTATCTTTGAATTTGCATCGTTCCCATATGCTTGAAATCATGTGAGTGTCGACGGAAATGAAATTCTGTTGCATCAGCTATGCTATTCACAAGGAAAACATTATGCCATTTCAGCCAACAAATATCACCGTATTTTACTATCTCCTTCTTTGTCCTTTAGGCTTGGTTCATTGCTCATCAGTGAATCATCATATCAGTGAGGAGTTTATACAAATCAAAAAGCAGTCACTCTTCAGCTCTTGGCAGGAATTTTAGGCAACCACATGCTTACAGTGAATTCATTTTAAAGTCATTACAGTCTAAGTGCCATAAATGCTAACACAACGGATATGATAATTTGAAAAATCGACTGTGTGGTCACGTTGGAGTACGTGGGGTTTGGGACGTAAGCACGTTAGCTTTATCTGCAATCAGTCGAGTGGATGGATGCGTTATGTAATGGTTAAAATACACTGCAGCAGATAATTAAATCTTTTGAAAGCACTGAAGGTTTCACCTCGGCTGGAGATGAAGCGCTTATGAACAGACTGCCAGGCTCATCCACTACGTGCTATCGAAAGAAGTTCTTAGACTACTTCCTTGTTCAAACAGATATTTGGGGTTAAAGATGCGGATGATAATGGCCTCATTAGTCGCTAGCTTCCGAAGCCTGTTCTTCTTCCACAGGTGTTTTATACCCGAACAGCCAGTTGAACCACGTGTCGACTGTGGATCGCTTTCCGAATCTCGACTAATGGAAACAAATGGAACAACAGATCGCCTCATTCATTTGAGGCTTAGGAAAACCAAGATAGATTAGGCCTGTTTAGATATAAAATAAACGTTTTATCAATTCAGATGAAACTGGGGTACTACGTGTGTTAGACAACCGTCACAGTACACCACGAAACACTTCCGGAAATAGCACTGGAGTTTATCCAGTGTACTCACCGCACAGAAATAAAATGTTTTCCTGATTTTGTCACAGTTATCTTTCCAGTGGAAGCGAATTTGCTTAAATTTCTCAGACAAGTTGATAGCATTGAGGTTCAACCAAAAATGGGTTGATAATGCAGAAGCATAGAACATTCAATAAATGAACCAAAATCTATTGATTTTCCTTTGAACTTTGGAAATATTTTCACAACCCCCGTCTGGTTACTAAACACAGCTAGAATGTACGGATTGAAACTCTCCCCTGAAATTGACCATGTGTATTCCGTATATTCCGTATATTTTTTTTATTGAGAAAGGATTCAGTGAGCGAACAACTGTTTTCAGACATTCCTAGTCATGTTCCTAAATATCACATGATGGAATAAGGTCTCACATGATGATACCCATTAGCTCAATTTAAGGTTGATAATCGGAGGCGGAGAATAGAGGATGTGCCTGTGCGTGTGTGTATGTGTGTAAGAATATTAGGCGTATTTATTGCTTTGTGACCTTTCCCCAGTTGGGTCAAGTGACACGTCATGTTTTTGTCTTGGTTTTCACACCCGATCCACGCAATTGGAACGCCTGCACCAGTCCATTTTGGGCACACAGGTTGGAGCCTAGTAAGATAATGGTGATCGCTCCGGCCATTGCTAGTACTCAAACTCGGGCCACTGTCGATTGATTGAGTGGGATGCGATAAACAACATTGAAAACTTTCTCTGATTCGAACTTGTGTCCGGTTTCGAGATACCTCACGATCGCGCTTGAGTTGCTGCCGGTTTTTCCCTGAGTTTTTGTATGTTTTGAGTCGACATTACTTATGAGTAGTGACTTGAATTAGAAATCACATCGTTTTATCGTAAACAGCAAGTCCTCTTTCGCACTAGAAATCAAAAATGCATTTCTATGATGCCTGTGTCTTACTTTTTACAGCATCAACTGCCTGGTCAACCACGGGGACAGAGTACAATGCCAATTTCCTCGACATCGTCCCAGGACGCTTTCGACTGAGTTTCCGCACACGAACACAGACCTTCGTAGCGTTTGCCGTGACCGCCTGGAAGTTGTATCTAACGGTACGATCGCTTTAATTTATTCTATACAAAAGGAAACTTTGATCCTTTATACAATCCTCTGAATTTCATCTCTACAATGTGAGAACTAATATTTCCGTGCAAGGTTTTCGGAGGTACCTAGGGAAAAGAATGATGCACTGACTAATGGGAGACGAAGAATCACTAATCTAACTGCTACAAACTGAATAACATGTGTTTACTTGAGACAGCAGTGTGTGTTGATTACGTCTGACGCTTGCATCTCAACGTATCGACCAGTGTGATTCACTAATGCTCTTTTACTCATTACCATCTATTAAGTGAGCCAACACCGTGTTTTGAGCTGTTGGACAGGTATTAGGTCAATGTTCGCCGGCCTCCGCAATTTGGATTCATTGCTGATGCTGCAGTTTGGACTATTCCAATTTAAATGAGAGGAATGTTGCACCCGAGGAGAATGACAACAGTCAACAAAAAATTAATCCTTATTATTTTCACCATGAGGATAATTTGGTCGGGATTCGCTTATACGAACGATGTACTCTAGTTTCAGTCCACTATATATTCGGTTTGAGCTCTCATAGAACACAGACCCTAAACGCATTTTGAAAGTGTGAAATCAAAATAATCACTTATTTTACCCATTCATAAATAAGCCATAAATATAGCTCTAACAATATATATATATATCACATATATATTACCGACTAATCTTCACTTTACGTGGGCTGCTGTTAGCCTCACTCTTGTTATTCGACCTAATTAAAGAACTAATAAACGCTAAAAAATTTCAATTTTTCCGTGTTTGACAGACATAAATACTTCTCTTCTTACGATTTTGGCCTTTAAAAATTATTTCTCCTTGGTCGCGTTCTTCCAGGTCACAAACGGTGTTCCCCAACTGGAGGTGAATCCAGTCAAACTTCGATTGGCTAAAGTCAATGTATCCGACGGAAATTGGCACTTGTTCGATATCGGTATCACGCAAAAGTAAGCAGGTTATGGCGTGTAGCTAAGTCCGGTCAAGTGGGCGACCACACCGATTTTTTGTTTCTGTTCGTGTAAAAGCATTTCTTTCATATTCCACTAATTGGGGCATACACTGGAGTCTGTAAAACTAGAGATATCACTTCTATTTTCGCGAGTGTCCCGAGAAACAACGGCTTCATCTAGACAAAAAGTATAAATGACAAACACGAATTCAAATTTTTATTTATAGATCTATTACGAAATGTATGCTTCTCGACTGCCATATGATCTTCACATATTGGGCATGCAAAGTGGTTCAAATTATAAAAAAAGTGATCGAGTTATTTTCACGGATGTTGAAAGGTTACCTGCTTTAATGTTTTATCTACCAGTGACTGATTTGAGCACCAACAACTTGGAATGGAAGAGAGTTCCATGTGTGTCAAATTCAGAATCCGAAATTGAAACGCCGGTATTCTAGACAACTCATCTGGAGCAACATTTGAAGACGTTGTCTATTGAGTTGACCATTACCGGTTAGTTTCCTAAAAATACTAATCATGTGGTTAGGTCCATGCAGTATTTGTTATATCCAGATCCCATCACACAGAATGAGTTGATATTGAGGGCGGGTGTAGGGAGTTGAATCCAGCCGTTTGCACACGTTCAACAATTAACTTTAATTGTAACCGTTAAAACATTTGGTTACTTTTCTTGGTCATCACTTATCCAGGTGCATGGCGTACTGTCTGTGGGTTTGAATGTATGCTCATAGCCAAACAGGGATAAAGATCTGTTCAAAACCGTTCTCAACTTTTTGAATAATTCACATTAATTTGGCTTCAGTGAGCAGACACTCTAACACTGTGTGAAACCTTTTAATTCCTCCTGAACCATGACTCTTGAATCATTCTCCTTTCTGTCGCATGGTAATAGCCGATTTCTAATTTCGTATGGGAATCGATGCCTTTGACTTACAGTTACGACCTGACACATGATAACGTTTAATTCATTTAATTGGATAATACAAAGCTACAAACAATATTTCGAACTCCAACTCGTTCCGGCTGTTGATTTCACAGCCTCCAACATCCTCACAGGTTCCAATTGAGATGAACGGAAAGATATTGTGAAAACACTATCCCCGCGAGTAACTCCGTTGATACTGAATAAAACCTGCATCAAGAACAATACGTTGAATTCTCGTTCCCTGAAACACTTGGACTCGCTCATTAAGTATCTTTTTTCCGCTCTACGAGTGATTCCATTCATGTATACATCCAACGACTAATTCTCTTTTCATTGTCATTGCTTTTAATACGATAACCATTATTATTGTTTTGAGTATTTTTAACGTTATTAGTGTTGCCATTAGTCTTTGAACTTATTGTTCTCTCTTTTCCGTGGTGGTCTCTAGCTTCATTGTTGCTGGGAGCAACACATGATACCTTCTACGAGTTGCTTAGAACGATGACTCTCTTGCCATGTTCCACAAATCTAAAGACCAAAAACCCCCTCCCTGCTCACTGAGAAAAACGAATACAGGTTAACTCCATCAACATACCTGGTTTGACCACATTTGTCTGACGTTTCCAACTAAAATATAGCTTCCTTAAATGCATAAAACAGTTGTCACGTTTTGGAAACGCTAACTATTTTCAGTTTGCGCACTGTTTCTTTTTCACGAGCGGACGTCTGCATTCGTGAGCTCTTTGCTCTCTATCTTCTGTTTGTGGTTCGACGGAACAAATCTTCAGATTTAGATCATGTGACCCAAGCTCTAAATTCCCTCTGTCAACAGTTTTGGCTGTTTGGCTTATAGCTTCCTGAATAGATCTTGCGATTTTCATATATCTAATCTGCCATCCAAGGAAGCTAGGGATTATCAAGTAGTCGTGACGACTAAATTAAAATTCTCCGGGACGTTAACGGGAAAGCTGGTCACACGCATATCCTTATCCCGCCCCCACCCCATGGACACATACACACTCCTTTGATTTCATTCCTTTCAACCTTCCGAACCGTCAATTTCGTTCACACTTGACGAGTTGGACCGCCGAGAGTGATTTTATTTCAGTAATCCTCTTATTCCTACTCCCACCACTGAAAACGCATCGTTAGAAATCCTCCAAAGAATATGGAGTGCCTAACGGCTCAGCTTCAAATCGATCGAATTTATTCTGCTTTCTACCATCAAATATTTTGCTGTCAATTTGGGAAATTTTGAAATGCTTCAAAAATGCTTCCCTCGTTCGGCCTATCTTGAAGTTAGATGAAGTTAAAACCTCTTCCATATTCCGACGTCTGATTAAAAATTAGGCTCGGAGCAGCGTTATCCAATCTAGTTTATGCAATGACGGTAGGATTCACACATTTCTGTGGATGGACACGAGAATGTGGTTCACATCAAGAAAAACAGACGATAAACGTAACCTAAAAGGTCGGCAATAATGACTACGCGAGTAACTCAAATGAGCACTTAATACAGTGTCAGATCGGGTGGATGTGCGGGCAGGGAAAATTTAGAATTGAGAGAGGATACATGGATTAGAGAGAATATTTGGAGAAAGATTCCACTGCAGTTGGATGAGATTTGAATCGACCTGTCAAACACATAATTACTATCATTAGAAAGTGAAAAAATGACGCAAGAGCAACAAAACCAACGAATAAAAGTCATATTAAAGTAGACTTCTCGTCTTCATCCGTGTTCCCACTGATATATCTTTCAGTGATAAATAACAGAAAATTAACTCTCCATTCACTATTCCCGACCCAATTTGTTTGATTTCTTTTGTGTTACAAGTTTTGCATTTGAAGCGAGTGTAAAAAGAACAAGCATCGGAGAAAATGTGATTTTTCGTATTTCTATTCACATGGAGTTCATATCTGTCTGTTGCATAAGAAGAAACTTTTACTCCCCATTGACCTCATTCCAATGACCAATTTCTCGTTATTTTTCAGCTTTCTGCAGATGCAAGTGGATGAACTAGACGGTGATTTCTATGCAGTTACCAGAGTTCCAGACGTGACCTTAAAAAGTGGTCTGGCAGAAATTGTGATAGCAAAAGACGCCACCGGAAGTAAGTAGACATATCTTAAAGAGCTAAGGGTTTGAAACATGTGAATGATCATGCATCTTTTGAGATCAAAATTATGTAGGGTATGTGCAGAAACGTGAGAACACAATGTGTTGAATGATTATTGGAATAAATTGATTGGGAAAACGAATTAAGTGCACTTAAGCGAAATGCTCATGCGTTTTATCACCGCGGAGAACCTGAATTAACCTAAACCTACCATGTAACCTGAATGGCTTGAATTGTAATTGAATCTATATCAACGGAAAAAAGTGATTAACTCGGTCTATGCGTGACAGACAGGCGTGCATGAAAGTATTGTTTTGAATGATTAAAACCCTGAAATAGGTTCCCAATAAAAAACAGCTGCGTTCATATCCTAGTTCTATCTGTTTTCTGTTTACATTGAAAG